AGAAGCTGAAGTCACTTCCTCATGAGTTCAATTCCCACCTGCCCCGGAGAAGATCCACATGGTGCAGCAGACCTCTCCTGACCTGCCCGCTGCTCCCCTCAGCAGTGTACTTCGTCGATCTGCCTGTTCTGCTCCCCACTCTGCCTCTGGTGAAGCCTCTCGCCGCCCCTGAGCCTCTGGTCTGTACCCCAGTTCTGTATGCACAAGTAAATAAATCTTTAAAAAAAATTAAAGCAAATAAAATGGGTAAGTGCTGCCAGGAACACTGTAATGGATGTTTTCTAATTAAATACTTGATTAAATGACAGTCTCAGACTACGCCACCTTAAAAAAGGTTAGTAGATAACATTATTCTTTATATGGATTATTACATACTGAAGATGTTTATAAAAACTGAAGCATCTGAAACCAGGTATATGTGTATTTGGGAATACTGATTTTTTTTTTTTAACTTCCAGCACTTTTGTGTGTCCAACTGAAATCATTGCCTTCAGTGATAGAATTGAAGAATTCAGATCCATAAACGCAGAAGTGGTAGCATGCTCCATTGACTCACAATTCACCCACTTGGCCTGGTCAGTATCTTACACTGTATTCATATAGGAAAGAATGAATATACTCTTAAATTTGGACAAACAACTCTTACCATGTTAAGAATGTAGTTGTTTATCAGAGAGTTTGAAAACAGATTTATCTAAGAGCTGCTAGTTCAGTGAAGCTATGGTAAAAATGCCGAAGGGTTTTATAGGATATTTCAAAATCAGGGGTAAAAGTTAAATGCACAAAAATGTAATATCCACAGCAAAATACTGCTGACCTGTATGATTACTATGTGATGATAAATTGGATGACCTTAATCTGGAGAAAAAATATTTAAAATATAGTTAGCTAATACTAAGTCAAGCTCAAAAACCTGAGGTAATGTTTTTCTAATTAATTTTAAAATTTTAAGAAAGTCATTAAACATGAAAGGCTATGCCACCTAATTAATTGCAAAGGATTTCAAATTAAAATTACAAAGGGTAGCATAGTTTCCGATTGATTGGCCAAGATTTCAAATACTGAAACTTTTCATACACAGTTTACAAAGGTATGAAGAGTGACACATTTGGTTCAGACAACAATGACATTTGGTTCAGAATGTTGGAGAACAATTAGGCATATGTTTCAAAATTTGAATTGTTCATATTGATGTGTTTGTAAGGTAACATTCAAAATAAGTTTTTATCAATTTGCAATTACATATGTAAATATCTGCAAACATATATAATTAAAATTTGTTCCCTTCATAATTCTCTTAGATATTTTAAAATACAATTACTTTTTAATATACTTGATTTACTTTAAGCATCTCAGTTTTCAGACAAACCTTCCCAAGAACTTAAGCAGTCTTGTAAGTCTAATAAATGTTATGTCTTAAGTCCTTTTAATGTTTCCCTTCTATTAATAAACTGAGTAAGATTTCAAATTATATTTTTAAATTGAAGTCATAAAGTGAATATTCATCTAATATGCCAGATTCTCTTAAGCTTATCAGTAATTTAATATATTAATATGTACTGATTAAGCATATTAAAATCATGGGTTTAATTTGCTTCATTTCTCTAGTAATTCTGAGTTTTCTTGGTATTAAGGCAGAAACTGAGGAAAAAGTCGTCGTTCCAAATAATTTGGGATTCTGAAGAAATTTGGGAGATACGTTCTCAGCTGGATAGGTTTCATACCATCCAGAGATTTCTACTTGGATGTCAAAACTGAGGCTGTAGACATCTGAGATGGGGCTTCCCTGTTTTCTAGCTGCTAGGGCTATGCCCTGCCAGTGGGGGACCAGCCCACACCCCGTTTCAGGTTACAGAATACACATCCGAAGAATGATATATCTGACATTGTAACTTACTTCACTACTTCAGGTGAACACTGCATTTGTCTCTTAAAATATTAAAATGTCACCCATCGTATTGTCTACTTGTCACAATTCTAAGGTTTTGTTTTGACAACACATCCCCTTTGAGCTGTCACTTCCACTTCTAGGAATTATCCAGACTAGCATACAAAGTTGAGAATACAAGGATGTTTCCAGACATGTTTATAAACATGTAAAAAAATTTTAAATGCCTGCCAATAGAGATAAGTAAAATAAAGTTGTCTGTACATTAAAAATTTGGTGAATATTATTCTTCTTAGAGAAAATGGGTTGTGTGTATACACACACAGAGAAAATGCTATTTAGGTATGTGCCTTTTACTGAACTCTGAGGCGGCAACTGTTCTGTCTGTTTCAGGATTAATACTCCTCGCAAACAAGGAGGACTTGGGTCACTGAAGATCCCACTTCTTTCAGACTTGACCCATCAGATCTCAAAAGACTATGGCGTATATCTGGAAGACTCCGGTCACACTCTTAGGTACTTGCGTGGTTTCATATTAGCCCAAATCCAAATATATTTGTAATCTTCCTTGAAATGGAGTCAAATGATCAATGGTCTTTGTAAAACTTTTGCAGACAGTATTTAAAGTAACTGATAAGCGGCCCTCCTTAAACCATTTCATAGAGCTGGAAGATAAGAGGTCTTTGACCAACAGTGTCATTTTACAGATAAACAAATTCATAGCATTCCATAAACTCATCCAAAGTCATATAGTTAGTTCATAGTAGAGCCCAGACTTGAACCCAAGTCCCAAAACACCTTGTCCATTTCTTTTTCCTCTTCCAAATTGACTACAATAACGCTTTTCTAAATGTGCTATTGTATTTAGGAAACCTGCATCTTTGGAATGGGAAAAATTAAAACCCAGCCCTCACTGGGTTCCTTGAGTAAGACATGTTAATAGAATTATTTGAAAAAGGGGGGGGGGGCAATTTTAACTTAAAGCAGTTTTAATTTTGTTATATTGTGGATTTGCTTTACAGTGCTAATGATTCTTTTTGAAAATGTTTCATGTGAAGGTTTAAGTGTTTTAATAATTCTGGTTTTTGTGATGGTTTTGAGAGAATATAATTCATGTGCCATACAGTTCATCCACTCAGTGCATGCAGGTAGGTGGCCGTCAGTGCGCTCACAGAGTTGTACAGCCATCGACCACAGTCCACTTTCGGACATTTTCATTACCTGACAAAGGAAGCCCATGCCCATTAGCAGTTACTGCTCATTTCCACAGTCTGCTTCCGCTGGCCCTCAGCAACCGCTACCCTGCTTTTTATGTTTGGGTGACCTATTCTGGGCATTTCTGATGAGTGGACTCAGATGCAGGCTTATGACTAGTCTCGCCACTTAGCATAATGTTCTCCAGGCTCATTCATGTTGTATCATGTATCACTACAAGAGATTTTTTTTCTTTTTTGTACTTAACAAATCTAATGTTTCTGCTTTCACAGTTTATTCCCAAAAGAGTAAATATGCCACTAAAAAGAGTGAGGCGATTTTAAAGTTTGGATTTGAACTTTAACCAAGTAAAATTCAAAGTATCGCAGCTATTTTATGTGATAATAACTAGAAGTTTCCTTTTCAGATTACGTTTTATTTTCATGCACATATTGGAAAGGCACGCTGTTTAAGCAGCACCCCCCCCCCCAGCCTTTGCCTGCTTCTCGGAGGAAGCTACGCTGGATCTTTAGCTGCTGCTTCCACTACATGTCTCCGTGTGTCTAAATATTATAGTTGTCCCGGATTTATCAACTTTGACATTATTTGTCATGCTAAATAAGACTTACCTTTCTTACTCCATCCCCAAATTTATCTTCCTAGGATGTTACTGGTGTTTACATTATAGTTTTTCATGGCTAAGCTCTTATAGTGTACTTGAAATTACATTTCCCTCCTGGTAAACTGTGATTTTCTTACAGATAATAAACTATTTCTATTTTTCTTTCTTTCTCTGAGCTCCTATGTACCCATGGCTCATTCTTCCTAAACTTTTCAAGCTGAATTGTAACCACTCTTAACAGCACTTCAGTTGCCTTTTTCTAGAAACTTTCATCTTATTTCTTTCAGACTGACCACTCTGGGCCTGTCACACAACACACTTTCCGAGCGCGTTGTTCTCCACTTCGGTAGCTGCCCGTTTTCTGCTCCATGCCTGTTGTCTTTTTTATTTAATCCTTTGTTTTGTGAAGCACATCCTTTTACCTTCCTAATAAGCTAAAAAATGCATTTTCCTGCAAACATTTGAAAACACCACCCTGCTACCTTTAGCTCCTGGGGTGCTTTTGAGGTGTCTATTGCTATTTTCTTATTTTTGATAAGAATAACCTCTCTTCTCTGTGGAAGAGACATACATATTGCAAGCATGGCAACTGTCTTAATCTCAACATCTACCAAAGAGCAATTCACAAAAATAAAACTTACAGAAGCTAGAACTTTCTGCCCAAGACAGGCAGATTTGCTTTTCTGGGTTGTGTGTTGGTAGGTATGATAAAGGAAAACTCAAAGTGTAAGATCAGACTCACTTCAGAACAGAGCTGTTCACCATTGATAACAATTTGCAGCAGTGAAAGAGGCTATATGAAAGAACACCCATGTAAATAGCAATTAACACTTTGCCAAGATGATCTGGACGGAGGGTAGTAAGCCCTAGTTAAAGGCATTAAGTTGTTCATTCAAAAAATGTATTGTAGGGTAAGCAAAACACCTGAATAATGTTTGCTATGACTGTAAAATAAGATTTCATGTAACAGATATATAATTTCATATAATTCTATTAAAAATGTCTCATTATTATTTGTAATACTTTTATACAAGCATATATAAAGTATATTTTAATGTACTTGAACTCCTACAGAGCCACTCCTTTCTCTTAGACCAAGCTACATTGTTCCCCAGGCCAGTGTAATGAATCACACATACAGAGATTTAGAAGGAAGGTAACATTGGTGATCTTGTCTTTTTCTACCATTGGAAAAGGAATTACAAAGACAGCCTAAAAAGCCAAATGATAAGATGGAGCACTCCCTCAGCCAGAGAAAGACCTTGTTTGTAGTTCCATCACTTCATTTACAGTGCAGTAAAATCCCAAACCTAGTATATGTGAAGACTGAGCTATAGACACTATGAAATACGGTACATTTCCGAGCCTCACCTCTACCACTCTCATGTTTTACAGGGGCCTCTTCATTATTGACGACAAAGGAGTCCTGAGACAGATTACTCTGAATGACCTTCCTGTTGGTAGGTCAGTGGATGAGACGCTGCGCTTGGTCCAAGCATTCCAGTACACCGACAAGCATGGGGAAGGTACCCTGTCCTTCTACACATCACAGCCTTTTGAGTTTTTAATTTGGGAGAGAAGCAGTATAGTTACTTTGCTTCCTTCTAAAAGTTGTAAGACGATTTCAAAAATGTTCTGATTATTATTTTCAAAGTATTACCCTATCCTTTTTTTAGCAGATCAAGTTATTAAAGTGGTTTTAGCAAATTATCATTAATATAGTCTAAGCTGTAAAAATGTTCATTGTTTGCAATAGTCCTTGGGTAAGTAAGCTCAAAGAGAAAAGTTTCTGATACTGCCATTTTTCAAATTATCTTTCGATAAACTTAAAATGTACAGCAGGCCCTTGAATAATGTCATTTCACTCAACATCTCAGCCAGCGTTGCACAAAATGGTGTTGAGGACCTGATTCCTTTAGTCTGTTCACTTCAAGTCAAAAAAAGTTTCCTAATGAGGACGTACCGCTCCAATTTGGCAGGATTTCTTTGCAGGCTTACATTACTTGGTTTAGCTTTTTCCTTCTAAGTAGTTCATTAATCCTCAGTCACCCAGCATCACATCAGGCTATCAACTCATCCTTTCAGCCAGCATTTTCGAGGTAGAGTAGGGGAAAAGGTCAATTTTTTTTTCTTTCAGGTAGAACATATTACATATTCCTTTCAAAAGTGTGAATCAGCACTTAGGTCAGGGTACTTTCTCAAGTAAGGGGAAATCTTTCTGAATAACTTTAGGCTCTTGACAAACAGCAAGCCCTGGCATACCACAAAATACTGCAAGAACCACAGCAGGCAGGGTTTAGATCAACTGACCTTTCAGGTCACTAGATTCTGAAACTTTTCAACATTGTTAAAGCAATATTTAATTTGATCTCTTATACTGTGAATGTAACTAAATACAACTCACAAAAATGAAAAGATGAGCTGCCTACTAGTAAGCTCTGTGGCTAAAATTCTTTGGTATAAATAGGCAAACTAAACACACAACACAGGCAAGCTAACAGAAGTCAAGTATTCAGCCACCTAGAAAAATAAGACTCATTAATGTAGATGCTGTTTTCAGTTTTACTTGGAATAAGAAAAGCCAAGCACCGCTAAAGACAACTGAACAATGTTTTTCGTCTTTTTCTTCCTTTCAGTCTGCCCCGCTGGTTGGAAGCCCGGTAGTGAAACAGTAAGTTAAACTGGTTTCCTGTTAAGGGAATGACAGAGGCCAAAACAAGCCCCACACCTTAGGATAACCTTTCCTTGTAATAGGACTGTCTTGTTTTGTAAATGAAGTAAATGTGGCTAAACAGAAATCATAGAATGCAGGCATTCTTGGCCTATAGGGAGAGTAGCTAAAACTCAGGAAAGCAGAATATAGGACTTAATACTGTGAATTTTAAAGCCTATTATCAGAGAACTATACCATTAAAAATAAAGCAAATAGTGGAAGCTGGGTAGAATAAATTTAGAGGTCTTCAAGATCATATTTTGAATTTCTTCCTATGTTGTAGGCAACAAAAAAGTCACAAGCAAAACCTTGCTAGATCTACTGAAAAACTTTTGAGAAAATCTGACTTCATTAGCATTGAAACTAATGATTCCCCACTTATCATTTGAAGGAAGCAAAGACTAAAATGGACCCACCTTTCCTTCATTTAGGAAGGCTGTATAATTTGTGAACAATAATATAATTGGGGAACTTGCTTGAACCATTAATACATTTATCTTCTAGAAACCCAGAGTTTCACACAAACTGTAATTAGATAGTTGAAACATAGTAGATAGAACATTGGAAAAAGAAATCATTTTCTTAGGATAAGAGAAAAAGGCACACTCCTAAAATTTTCTTCCTAGCAAAGCAAAAAGAAAATGCCCCTAGCTAAAGTGGAAGTGGGATTTACTCTGTAACCTCAGATTAGTTAAAGTAACATTCCACTGATCATGAAACAGATTTTGATATGTTTGCAAAAACAGCTTTGCTTTTGCAGACCAAAGTTAATGTTACAATCCAAATTTATTTATCTCTACATAGATATGATGGGTCTCTAAGGCAATTTAAAGTAATTCATTAAAGGTACTTTGAGCACTAGTTACTTTAAATCATAAAGTAGATTAGTTTGCAATAATGGCCATGAAGCTTACATATAGAAATATGAATCAGGGCCCTCCTTCGTGGTACAGTGGATTAAAGCACAGCACTATGAAGCTGTCCTGAGCCACTGCAGCGCAAGTTCAATCCCCAGCCAGGTTGCTGACCCACAGGGCACAGCAGACCTCTCCTGTGTCATCCACTGCTCCCCTCAACAGTGAATTTCAGTTGATCTGCCTATTCTGCTCCCCACTCTGTCTCTGGTGAATCCTCTCACCCCCTGCAACTCTGGCCTGTACCCCAGTTCTTGTGTGCATAAATAAATAGATCTTTAAAAAAAAGAAATATGAATCAGAAGCTAGAGGCATCACCTGAGAAACCTTAAAAAGCATTTCTGACTAGGTCTTCTAGTAAGGAGCACTTCCTCCTGGAGCTGTAGCAAAGCCAAATGAATGCTAAATTCACCATCAACCACAGGCATGTGCTTTTAAAAGATCACCAAGAGCGCTCAACCAGTATAAATTTACTATGAAAGATATAGGATGTAGTATTTTATGTACACTGAGAAAACATGTCAACTATCCACTTGATTAATTTTGTGGGGACTGATGAAACCCCTGTAATCTCCCTCCAAGAAAATGCACATACGTTACCACATACTATGTTTGGGTGTTCTTTTTTATCCCTTAGCTTTACCAAAGTATAACTGATAAATAAGAAATGTATATTTAAAGGGTACAGTGTAAAAATCTGATAGGTGTATACATTGTGAAATGATTACCACAGCCCGATAAACAAATTTATCACCTCACATAAATTACCTTGTATTGTGTGATGAGAATGTTTAAGATCTACTCTTCCAGCAAATTTCAAGTATACAACACCGTATTCTGATGCTGCGCATTAACTCTCCGGAACTCCTTCAGAACTGCATTCGTATGAAAGCCCTTGGCCCTCAGTGCCCCCACTTCCCTGGTCACAGCCCCTGGCAGCCACCATTCTGCGCTGTCTATCCGGGCGTTCTTCCAGTAGACATTTATTGAGCACCGACTCTGTGGCTACTATTCAAAGTGTTAAGACAACCAGAGAGAATCTGCTGGTAAACAGCAAAGCCAAGGTCCCTACCCTCGGGTTCCATTCTAAGTCTAGCTTCAGGTGTGGCGGGTGCGTTTAGAAACAGGTGGAGTTGGTGAGATAGTGCCTAGGGAGGGGAGAAAGATGTCAGGAAAAACTTGTAAGTTGACATTTGAGTTGAAACTTGAGTGAAGAGGAAGTCAGTTCTGTCCAGAGAAGCACAGCAAGAACAGCCAGGGCGGAGGACCAAGGTGAACCAGCTGAGCCTTTCCAGGAACAGAAGGGGCCTGTGCAGTTGGAATAGAGACACCAGGGTCCACTGGCGTGGCAGTCTGGAGTCCAGTGAGCTGACTGGGGGGTCAGTAGTGAGCTTAGTGAAGGCAGCAGCTACTTTGGAGCAGTTCAAGAGGGGAGCAAAATATGAGGAAATGAGGCAAATATGAAGAACTAGTTCAAGAAATACAGCTTTGGGGAGAAGAAAGCTGGAAACAGGACATAGCACGTGGTGACATTTCTTTGAAGAGAAATGAGGATTTCATCTCCATCTTCCTCAGCTCCCTCCTGATGTCTCCCTGTCTCAGCTTCCCATCCACCAATACGTGTCACCCGCAGCCAGAACCCTTGAGTGGCTCTGCAGCACTCACAGGATGAAGGCCAGGCGCTCGCACACGCTGGCGTGCCTTCACATTCTTTGTTACTCTGGGCCTCTCCACATCCTTTTCCTGGACTCAGTCACATGCACTGTGCTCCAGCCAAATCACGTCGCTCATCTTTTTCCAAAATAAGCCCTGCTTTTCCACACCTGTCTATCTTTGCGCAGTACTTCCTTCCGACAGTAGCCTGGGGGACCTCTCCCTTTCAGTTCTACTCACCTGTCAAGAGCAGCTTCCGTGCCGCCATCCCTGAGCTTTGCCCTGATGCTACCTCAGCCTCCACTGAGTCGCACAGCTTGTGTCCGCTGTCCACTGCACCAGACGGTGGTGCACACATACAACTTCGCCGTGTGCTTGCATGGGCCTCAAAGGTTGGGGACGTTGTTGGTTAACCTCTGTATATCCCCCGATGCCCACACACCGTTGGCACTGAGTAGTTACCCCATAAGTACTTGCAAACTGAATTTAAATGCAAGAGATTGTAAATTAATAAAGACAGAATATTCCTTGAAGTGATACCTCAAAATTAGAAAACATTTATTCTAAAAGCTAAGGAATAATTCTGGACAGAATGAGGCAGCTCTTTCTGCTGCTTGTGTCTGTGCATGCCTTCTTTCCCTTATATAATAAACCTGTCCTGGATATTAAAAGGGAATGAAAACAGAAGTATTCTAAGCTGATTTCAGTAGATTATCTTTTATATAAGGATGCATAAACTTTACCTGTAACTAGGCAAGAAACAGTTAATGGGAGGTCAGAGAGTGTTTGTTCTGCTTCACAGTTAGAAGTTAAGGTTGCATTCTGGCCTCTTGAGGGTGCGTTTGAAAACATTGCCCCTATTTAGCTTGTGGCACACCATCATTTCAGCAGCAGATGGTTCAAAAATACATTAACATCTGTAGCCATGCTCTCTTAATGTGTCTGATTTAATTAGATCAAACCTGAAGATGTCATGAAAGCCTGGTGGCCAAGAGAAGAGCTGTAAGTAAATTTTGGGGTGCTTGAGTACAGATGTTAATTTATTAACAAATTATTTGCCTTTTGGGATAGTTGAGATTAATAGGTAGGACAAATTCAATTTTTCCCAAATAATTTGGTACACAAAAGCACATCTCTTCAGTCAAGAGATGGGCAACTAATGTCAGACTTAATGATGTATTTTGGTTTTTAAAATGAATAATTTGCCTTTTTTTTTTTTAAACAGATAATCCCGGATCCAGCTGGAAAACTGAAGTATTTCGATAAACTGAACTGAGAAATACTTCCAGACTTCAGGTTGTAATGCTTGAAACGTCTCAATAAACAAGGTGCACCACTTCATTACCACCCTGTGTTAGTCATTTGCCAGAGAATGCCGCAGTCCAAAGACATTTAGTGTCCAGCTTAAACAAAAGACAGACAATTATTCTTTCTGAGGAAGAAATTGCAGATTGCGTTGCACCGATAATGGCACATGTGGCGTCCTTGGCTCATGCCAGGCAGTGAGTCAGCAGCTTAGCTGTTTCGCTGCATTAAATCCTCCAAGTAACACTTGCAGTTCTTTGCAGATGAGGTAATTAAAGCTCAGGTAATTACAAACACTTGTCACACCCCTCACTACCAAAGGTAGAAATAGACTTCTAGCCCAGAAGACGAATTCTAGTTTCCGGTGACTTGACACCCCATTGTGGCTCACCTCTCTACACTTTGGAAGGTGGCAGGAGGAACAGCTGTGAGCGGTCCCCTTCCACGGTGTCTGGTAGCGACGGCTGACCCAAGCTCACTTCGCACTGTACCACCTGAAGCCCTTTGGGCCTCCCTTTTTTCTAAATTCACACTTTCAACCTGTATCAAATGTCTGAGTACACGCAACTATTTCACAAAGGCTGAACCCCCAAGTGGACGGAGCTAGCTCTTCTCAGCTGACCATATACAAAAACACCTGTGCTATTTCCTCACCCCATTTGCAGATAGGCAGGGACATTTGTGGGCTGTGCTTGCCCACAGATGTGCCACGTAGTTAGGACAGCTGGTACCCTGTCCCTACACTAGCCACTCCTAATACTCCAGAAACACTTCACTGCAGGGAAGGCCATCACTGCAGCGGGCAGTACAGAAATCAGGAGTGTCAGCATCCTGACAAACCCGGAGTTCTATGATAAGTGGCAGGTGATCTGTGATGTGTATTTGGACATGGCCAAGGGACTCCAACCACCACTTAGAGCCCCTTCCTGCAGCGTTATTTCTAAATGCTAACAACACTTTAGAAGTCAACCTATTAATAAAGATGGAGACAGCTAATGCTTTTGTGTTCTGGTTGCCATAACTTTGTCAGTACTTACAAGTACTGAATCCTATTCTCAGATTTCCTCTTTCCAGTCTAAAAAGCATAAGCCTGTATCTTCATGATTAATAGTGTCTTTTCTTTGGAGAGTTTCTAGCCTCAATCATTTCTATTTTCACGAGACAGCCATTACTGTTTCATTTAGCATTCAGCAACTACAGATCCCCTACTCTCCACACCTAAACGTGTCTCATCACGTGTCAGTGACCAAATGCTACATCTTCACCCTCGGAGTTTAGCAGTCTGATTACTGATGTTAATTATGTAGTGATTTCTGGTATTAGCAAATGGGGAAAAATACCCTGCCTCGCCACGCTACATAATCACTGGTAATGTAGTGAATGCCCATGAAGAAAATGGATTAAGTGCGGCCCTTCTCAGTACCACTTAGAAATTCTTCTTCAAAAGCTGACTTCTGAGAGTATTGATCCAAAACATACCCTAAAGACAAAAGAGTGTAAAAACGAGTGTTCCAAAAGCACAGTCCCCAGACCAACTGAAGAGGATCACGTCAGGCCTGACTGGCCCAGGGCCACCGGAGACCTAGTCCTTGACACTGCGCCTCCATAGTGCCCAGAGGCAATTTTCCCCCCGGGGGACATGGTGACAACTGGAGATGTTTTCAGTTGTCACCACTTTGGCAGTGCTACTGGCATTTAGTGGGCAGAGAACTGCCTTTACACTGGCTACCCTCAAGCTGTGGCCATTTGCACAACTCAGATTTGCAAATGTTCTATTAAAGGGAATACACCGCACTGAACCTCAAAAGCCACAAGATGGCGCAATTCCCACAGTAACTAGGCACGTTAAGAGGCTCCCCTTTCAGGCCCCACAACTCAGAGCCAAAAATAACTTCGTTTTTGAGTGGTCTGTTGTTTTTTAACAAATCTAATTTAGTAAAAAAAAAAAAATGAAAAAGCCTTTAAAATTCAGACCACTTTAAAAGCTAAGTACAACTCAAGTTGGCATCTTAATTTGTACTGAGTATACACCTCCCATCAATGACCATGACCCAGCTAAAAGTACATTTTACACTGACCAGTATCCCACGCACATATATAACAAGCTCCACACAGTACCATTACTATACATGATGCATCCCAATCTTGCATTCTTTAAAGATTTACTTATGCATACAAGAACTGGAGTACAGGTTAGAGGTGCAGGGAGTATGAGGACTCACAGGAGACAGAGTGGGGCCTAGAACAGGTAGATCTACTGCAGTACACTGCTGAGGGGAGCAGTAGGTGGGACAGGAGAGGTCTGCTGCGCTGTGCCATGTGTGTCAGCTCCCTGGCCAGGGATCGAAATGCTGCAGTGACTAGCGATAGCTTGACAGCACTGAGACTCCAACCCTGCTCCACGAGGGAGGCCCTGATCATGCATTTTTTAAATACTGGCTACTACCCATCAGTAGGTCACCAGACTTTGCAAACATTTGTATAATTGATATAATCAAAGCCTATTTAGCAATACCTTGTCATATATAACTTTCATCTTTCGTTATGGTTTTGTTCATTTGCTTTACCCATATTATGCCCTATCCTCTATTAAAGATGTACAATTTCTGTCATCCAAAACCCAAAATACCCCTACTCTTTCTTTGGTTACTGTAATCCTCTCTGGGGTGTTAATTTCTCAATGCCTCCAGCTTACTAAATAGCTTGCAGAGGGCCTATTTTATTATAAGCCTCCATTTTTTTTTTACCATACACATTTTAAATAGGACTTGATTTTTAAGAGTATGCACAGTATACTCTTAAAACTGTTTCCCACACACACTCAAAATATTTAACCCACACAGTGAATCAAGTGACAGATTACAAGTCTAAAGCAAATGGAGAATGAAATAGAACCCAAAGAGAGGAATCTTCCAGGCTACTCCTAGAACTATCTGCTGGTCACTGATGGAGAAAGAGCCTCATACATGGACATTCAGGTAGCACACTTCTCCCATGTTATACCATCTGCCAGAAATGTGCCCACTAAAACAAAAGATTCCCAAATGCATCTCAGATTGAGCCCCTTACATCCAAATAATTTAATGACAATAGTTTTATCTAGCAGCAATGTAATTAGTCAAGTGCCCTTAAATCCATTTTTGAACTTACCAAAATGGTTGTTTCTATTTTTAATTCCTCTTTTCCTATTATAGTAAATCATTACTTGTTGCTAAGGAGGGAAAGAAAACACGTCCATTTAGAAAGTCAATCACAACTATAGCAAGTGTTTTATTCTAACAGAAAATTTAAATGCCAAAAGTATTTTAGTCATCCTCGTCTCTTGCGTTTGAAACCTGGTTGTGCTGGCACTAAGGCGTGTATGGGTGTATGTCTGTAATCACTAGTCGCACCTTACAACAGCTGGAAAAATGTATGAGACTCTAGACCTAGTCTGGGCCTACTCCATCTGTATCAGTTATACAATGAGCTTTGTAAAGTTATTTTTCCACTTGAAGCCCCACTTTCCTTACCAAAAAGTATAAAAATGATGTTGACCTCAAAGGGTGGATATAAGGATTAAAAGAGCACATACATTTTAATGTCATTAGCAAAGTGCCAAACGTAGTAGGAATATGGTATGTGTTGACCATATGTAAAATCCTTATTTTCCGTTGATTACATCCCTCCTGCAATTTTCTGGACACGATTCATGAACATCATGAGTTGCCCTGGGGTTCTTAACTAAATAAAAAATTCCTAATTACTGCCAAATGTTTTCATGTTTAATCATAAAGCCTTGAATTTGAGCTTGAGGTTCTTTCCTGGAAGCAGAAATCAGTAACTCAAACTTGTATTCTCCATGTCAAAATAAATATAAACTAACCTTCAGTATCCTCCTCCTGATGCACTTCATTCCACCTCCCTCTTACTCATCGTCTGCAAAGGAGCATAATGCTAAAAGTTCATTTTTCAGAATGTATGATAAAGTTAAGCACATTGTCACAAATTAATATTTCATAAAACATCAGCAGTGATAGCAAACAATTACACTCCTGTTTAAAGAGCAAGATAGGCAACTTGAAAGAAAGTTCACTCAGATCTAAAAAAATGACCCTAATTTTGGTTTTCACAAACATACTAACATTGGCTCTTCACAGCAAAAGTAGTAACAGTTTACTCCTTGGATAACAGACTGCCTCTCTGTATTACAAAAGAGAATATCGAGTATCATCCCAGTTTTGAAAAAGCTCAGCATTATCAGGAAAATGTTTGTTTCCCAAAGATACTTGTCCACCAAATGAACCTCACTAGCACCAGTGGGAGAAAAACTCACCTAGGAAGAGCTGGGTGCTTAGAATGATGCAACCCCTGACCATCCAGTCGTGGGAGGTGTGGCTTGTTTAAACGTTTTTCTTACCAGCAACCTCTTAATCACCTAACTGGTGGCCTCTTCCTGGTGCTCATCTTTTGTCAAATTCCATTGATGCCACTGGTCATACGCTCCATGAAATAGACTTGAGAGGCAGGACACTGCAGTTAGGAGTAGATAATCTAGATGCTACTAGAGCACTACCATTTAAGAGCCACCAATTAAGAAATAGAACCAGCTTGCTAAAGAGGACCAGCCAGCCACCCCCATTCCAACCTGCCCACCCCTCGGGGAAGGTGGCAGATGTGCCAGCCCAACAAACTTCCAGCTGAGCACAGCTGAATGACCCTGCCACCACTTGTAGCAGAACCACCTCATGAGCTCATGGAGGAGCTCAGTCACCCAGAGAATCAAATGTCTTCAGAAAGAGAAAACACCCTTCTCTGCACAAATCCATTGAAGAGAAAAATAAAAGTAGCAAAGGGAATGCATTAGCTTGCTCAGGTCCCAGAGGAAGGGACCCCAGCATCACGCAGGCACGAACATGCTAGTACGCACACTAGTGTGCACCTTAGAAAGAACCCAGTGATAAAGACACCATCTTCGAAGACTGCCCCCAAACTACAAGCATGGTAATAAATGCCTGACGTAAAACTGAGCTATCTGAGCAGAGACTTTTCAGTGTAAAACT